CCCCCCCCCCTGCTCCGATCCTCCACCAATTCTTCAATTAGGACACATTTATGCTGTTGTGCGTTTTTCACTCGAGTGGAGTCGTTTCCAGTTGAGTGCTGCTGCTCGGCCAGCTCCTTCTCGAGGAGGGGGAGGGGTGGTGCAAGCGGTGCAAGCACTGTGCACGCTCCGCCACCGCTACCCGTGCTACTTGCTACCCCCGGGGATCTCTTTTCGAGAAGGAGCGGGTAGCGCCGGAGCGGCGGTCCAGCTTGGCACATAACCAGCTGCGAGCCCGAAAGTTAGTCAGAAGCTTTTCAAGCTGTGAAAGAAATAAATCTTGCGAATAAATTTGTTCGGAACGTAGCAAAAAGTTTCGGTTGTATTTACAAAACAGTTTCGTAAGCTGCGATAACAACATGGTTCGTATTGCAAATCGGCTATTGTAATTTTTCGCCGCTTCAGAACAAACTTGTTTCTACTACGCACTGCGATCGCTTTTTTTCACAAACAGTGTAATTGACTCTACCGCGAGACTTGAATGCCGGGGAGCGTCGCAGCGTATGGCGTCGCGTACGTGGCCACACCTTGGCGTCCGCCCGCCCGTCCGCCCGCCTGCCCCACCCGACTCCTGCCCGTCCTGGCTCTTTAGTCTCAAGGCTAGATTCCCATCGTTTACAGCGCAATACCACAACGAGCCTTTCCACTTCCCGACGCAAGGCGCTTGCGGGAGGTGTGTGTGGGGGTGGTAAGCGGCTCGGAGTCGGGCTTGCTGGATCTCGGGAGAGAGGGTGAGAAAGACAGAGAAAGAAGGAGGGGGGGGAGGAACTCTCTATGCGGCCGGGAGGGGGCAGTTGACCTTGCGGCCTCGGGGGTGGCGGGCGGCGGAGCCCCGCGGACGGAGGTGGGGGCGGCGATACGATGTGATCTGCAGCAGGGGAGGGCGGGCCGCCCCTCAGGCCGCCCGGCCGGACACGGGTCGAGGGCCGCGGCCGCCCCAGCTACCCCCGCCCCCGCCGCCCCACGCGCGTGGGTTTCCCGCCGCTCGCTGGCCCGGGGGTGGCCGGGGCCCGGAGGACCCGAGTGGTCAGTCGCCAGTCGGCCCCGCTCGCCCTCGCCCGCAGCTGCCCCTCGCGAGTCCAGGCGCGCCACAGGCAGCCACAGGCCGGTCCGATACCCATGCCCGCCGTCGCTATGGTCAGGCGAGGGCCCGTGGTGCCATGAGATCTGCCTTCTCCCTCGTCGCCCTGCCGTCCAAGAGTTACGTCCAGGTACAAGGCCCGCCCTGCATGCCTCGCGCTCCCCCCCGCGCGCCCCCGCCTCCCCCTCCCCGCTGCATGTGACGGTGTGACATGTGCGAGCCGTGACTCGTGACGTGGTGTAACGCGGCGCGGTGACGACGGGGTGACGGCGCGGCGTCGTCAGTATGTCCTCCTGTTTCGTCAACACGCCCGTCGAGTCGGAGGACCTCACCAGGATTCCTCACGCCGAGCGCTTCAGCCGTCCCAAGGTTTCTGTGCATATTTTTCATAGCTAAACTCCACACTTCGCGGTAGATCGCGTTACTCTTTCGTCTGCTACAGCTTAAAGTGTGTGTATGTTTGCGTGCGTGTGTGTTTCCCCTAAGCCGATATCTTCCCTTGAGACCCCCCGATGGCCTTCTCGTCGCCACGTGCGTTTGGCGCGGCGGGGGCGGGGGGCCTATGGCCGTGAGGATATGTTAGAGTTCAGGGCGAAGGTTGAGGAGGCCATCATTATCTCGCCATCCGTTCGGACGGATAATTACAGGACGGCTGTCTTGCGGCGGTCGGGCCCGCCTCTCTCCCCCGTCTCTCGCCCTGGCCGCCACGCCGCCCCACACAGTGTGGCACACACCACGCCGCTAGCGGAGCTCCGCAGCGGGCCGAGGTCGAACATGGGGGCCTGGTTTTTGTGGTCCGGGCGCAGCGGGGACGGCGTGTGACGGGGCACCATCATGGCCTGCGCTGACTACTTCTGGTGGCTGCGGCGGTGGCCGCGACGCCCCCGGCGACGCGTCTGCCTATGGCCGGCGCCCAGGAGGCACCCCTTGCAGGTCCCTTGCGAACACCATGGACACCGTGGGGACATGTTTAAATCATAGCGCATCGCGCATCCCATGAGTAGATGAGGATAGTTTCTTTTGCCGTTCTCCGCAAGGTGTCCACGTGGTGGGGTCGCCGTGCAGGCTATGTCCTCGAGCAGTACTCGAGTCTGCCAGGGTCTCGACCTCACTGCCGCCACGGCCTCCGTCTCTGTGTTGTTGCAGACCGCCAGCTACGGGAAGAAGAACGGCGTCTGGTACGCGTCGGGCGGAGCGGGTGGAGCCTCCGGACCGGGGGCGGGGATCGGGTCAGCGGCGGCCGCGGGCGGCGGGGGCGGCGGCTGGGGGCGGCCGCACGCCTCGCTGTCCAGGAAGTCCAGCGTGCTGGAGGCGGAGCCGCTCGGCGGCCCCGCGGGGGCCAAACCCTCCTCAGGGAGAGTCATCAGGATCATCCACGGCGACAACCACAACATCCAGGTGAGCAAACACACAGGTTCTAGTTCTAGTGTTTCGTGTCAGTTCTAGAAAAAGAAACAGTCTAAAGTACAATTTTACCTCCACACTTTTATGTGGACCAAGTTCTTTTTAGACAGTCTCCAAGACAGTCTAGCGGACGGAACCGCCCCCCCCCCTTACCTCTTTTCCTTCTTGGAACAAGGCAATATGACCTTGCACGATAGGGAGTAGTGCCTCATTTAAATGCCATTTAAGTGCCATTGCCTCAAGAAAGAGCCTTAGCTTAGGCAAAATGACATATTGGCGCAATAAGTCTTTGTTTTTCTGTCATATTGTCGGTGGCCAATCAGTGGACCAAAGATTGACCAACTTCCATCTTCATCAATCGCCCAATCATTCAATCTATAACTTCTTATTTTTATTCACACCGCCCCAGCAGCCCCGCCCCGCCCCACCGCCTTGGCGTTGCCCCTGAACCGCCGCAGAGGTGGGCAACCCCTCAGGGTCGCCACAAACCCCTTGTCCAGCAGGTGCGCCGGACTGGCTGCTGCAGCCGGGCGGAGCGACACGGAGTGACCATGAGTTAAACGTTTTCTATGTTGGTTCGCCACGCCACACCCCCAGGGTCGCGCACGGCGCTCGCTCGCCCCGCCACGCGCCGCCACCCTCCGCCACGGCCCAGCGAGGCGCCGGCGCCAAGGTCTGCTGCTGAGAGTGTGTGAGTGCGTCCCCAGTGTTGGCTGTGTGTGTTTTTCACTCTTTAGCGTGCCGCCCTCTTACCCGTAGCTCGCGTGATTGAACTCTGACCGCGACCCCCGCTGCGACCTCCGCCCCACCCCCGCACCCCCGCACCGTCCTTGCCGTGTTCTTGGAGTGCTCTGTGTGTGCGCGCACCCCGCCGTGTTTGAGACGCTCTTGGCGCGCCATGTCCACCGCGAGCTACAGCCACCACGACTGTTTGCAGTGCCGAGTGCTGCTCAACCTGAGGACGTCGCAGCCGTTCGAGGAGGTGGTCGAGGACCTCGGCCAGGTGCTCAAGATGAACAACGCCAAGAAAATGCAGACCGTGCACGGGCAGGAGGTAAAGGATTCGGAAGTCTCGAGTTTTTAAATTTAAAAAATATGAAATTTTTCCAGGAAAAAATGAAACAAATCAAACTTTTAGATAAAAAAAATAACATCTTAAAAAAATCTGGGGAAAATAGTTTTTTCCAAAATTAAAATCCCTACTTGTAGCTCCTGTAAAGATCTTCTCTGGCCCGTGCCCAGTTACCGCCCGTTGACTAAAGGCTGGGTCCCTAACCTCCCGTGTTTGCCGCAGGTGCGGAGCTTCTCGCAGCTGCGCAACGAGTTCGCCGACGTGGACACGTTCTACCTGATGACCGAGTCCATGCGGCAGGCCGTGTCCGGCCCGTCGTCCCCGGTGCGCCGCTCCCGGTCGCGCGCCGCCTCCACGCACGCGCACCCCATCATGGACGACCGGGACGACCGCCCCGCCAACACCCGGCGGCGCGCGCGCTCCAAGAGCCGGCCGCGTGTCCTGTACGCCGACCCGGAGCCCATCAGAGGTAGGTCACATACTGTGCGGTGCGGGCGGCTTTGGTGCTGTTTTAGAAACAACGTGGACTTGCGAGGGGTAAAAATATGATGGGGTCTTCATGGACTCCAATCTCCGTCCTTTATGGTTTTCATACCCCATGATATTCGGAACCCTGCGAAAGTCCACGAGGTCTCTAAACAGCCGCCTGCAACCCGAAACGCCTTACGGTCCGGGGGTAGGCAACCCGCACGCACGCGTGCCATGCGGTACAGTATGACTACGAAACGCCAGGCGTTCCACCCGCTTCGCTGAAGTCCTGCTTTTAAAAAAGAGTTGAACTCAAGGCTGCTGCGCACTTTCTCGTCGCAGACTACGCCGTGCTGGACCTGATGAAGGAGGAGCCGGTGCGCGTGACGATCCGCGGGCTGCGGAGGACCTTCTACCCGCCGCTGCACCACGCGCCGCTCGACAACTCGCCGCCGGACAAGCGGCTGCAGCTCAACTGGGTGTTCGGCTACCGCGGCGTGGACGCGCGACGCAACCTCTGGGTGCTGCCCACGGGCGAGATCATGTACTACGTGGCCGCGGTGGCCGTGCTGTACGACCGGGACGAGGACGCACAGCGCCACTACGTCGGCCACACCGAGGACATCATGTGCATGGACCTGCACCCGTCGCGCGAGATGGTGGCCTCCGGGCAGCGCGCGGGCCGCAGCCGCAAGACGCAGGCGCACATCCGCATCTGGAGCACCGAGACGCTACTCACGCTCTACGTGTTCGGCATGGGCGAGCTCGACGCGGGCGTGTCCGCCGTCGCCTTCTCGCAGCTGGTGAGGCTTGCGGGGGGTGCACCACTCGGTGGCGGAGGGAGGGAGGGAGGGAGGGACACCTTCTGATTGTCCGCTTTACTCCTCGCAGAACGGCGGCAGCTACGTCTTGGCCGTGGACGCCGGTCGCGAGCGCATCCTCTCCGTGTGGCAGTGGCAGTGGGGCCACCTGCTCGGTAAAGTGGCGGTGAGTACGGTCGAGAGAGATTTAAAAAAAACTGCCGGTCCCCGTCCCCGTCAACATTGCGGTGCGGACGATGTATAATTTGCGTTGCTTGGTTCCGAGCAGACCCTGCACGACGATGTGTCCGGCGCAGCCTTCCACCCGCTGGACGACAACCTGCTCATCACGCACGGCAAGGGCCACCTCACCTTCTGGACGCGCAGGAAGGACGGCTTCTTCGAGCGCACCGACATCATCAAGCCGGTGAGTAGAGTTCGGCGAAACCCTAGCCTAGCACCTGCCAGCACCTTTTGCCACCCTGTGGCCATATTGTGTCCACAGCCCTCCCGGACGCACGTCACGGCGCTGCAGTTCGAGCAGGACGGCGACGTGGTCACGGCCGACGCGGACGGCTTCATCACGGTGTACTCGGTGGACGCCGACGGCGCCTACTTTGTGCGCCTCGAGTTTGAGGTGAGCCGTCAAGAGAGCAGTGGTTATAGAGATCCAACAGAGGCTAAACATCCTGCCCTGCCCTGTCCGCCAGGCCCACAACAAGGGCGTGAGCTCGCTCGTCATGCTCTCGGAGGGCACGCTGCTGTCCGGCGGCGAGAAGGACCGGCGCATCATCGCGTGGGACTCGCTGCAGAACTACAAGAAGATCACTGAGACCAAGCTGGCTGAGTCGGCGGGCGGGGTGCGGTCGCTGTACCCGCAGCGGCCGGGCCGCAACGACGGCAACATCTACGTGGGCACGACGCGCAACAACATCCTCGAGGGGTCGCTGCAGCGCCGCTTCAACCAGGTGGTGTTTGGCCACTGCCGCCAGCTGTGGGGGCTGGCCGTGCACCCGGACGAGGAGATGTTCGCGACGGGCGGCCACGACAAGCACGTGGCCCTCTGGCGGAAGCACAAGCTCGTCTGGTGCACGCAGGTGCCCTACGAGGTGGTGTCGCTCAGCTTCCACCCGTTCGGCATGGCGCTGGCCGTCGGCTCCACGGAGGGCCACCTGATCGTGCTCAACGCGGAGACCAGCGCCACCGTGGCCTCGGTGCGCGTGTGCGGCTCGCCGCTGTCGTGCCTCGCCTACAACCCGGCCGGGGACGTGATCGCCGTCGGCTCGCAGAACGGCTCCGTGTACCTGTTCCGCGTGTCGCGCGACGGCTACTCGTACAAGCGCGCGCACAAGATCCGCGGCTCGCAGCCGCTCACACAGCTCGACTGGAGCACGGACGGCGGCTTCTTGCAGACGGCCACCGAGGAGTACGACCTCACCTTCTGTAAGTGCCCCTCCACCCCCTTTTCCTTCCTTCTCCTTTTCCTCGTCCGCTCGGTGCCCACTAGTGCGCAATCCAATATTTTATCCGACTTTCTCGTTGCAGGGGACGTGAAGGCTCTGTCGGCCGAGAAGAGTCCCGTGGCCATGAAGGACGTCAAGTGGTACACGCAGACGTGCTGTGTGGGCTACACCGTGGCGGGTAGGGCATTTGCTGCTCTGGCTACATAGGCTCCGGCAGTCATCACATCGATTTTACCCCACGCTTTTTCTTTCTGCAGGCATTTGGAACAACAGGTACTACCCCATGACCTCCCTCATCGTCTCGGCCAACCGCTCGGCGGCGCACGACCTGCTCATCAGCGGCGACTCGGACGGCTACCTCCGCCTCTTCAGGCAAGTCACGTACACCCACCCCCTAAAAAAAGGGCGCAATTAATTAAGGACCATGAATGAACAAATTTGACCGATCTCTGATTCTACCTCAGGTACCCATGCCTGAGCGCCAAGGCGGAGTACAACGAGGAGAAGGTGTACAGCCTGCAGGTGGCCTGCGGCCGCTTCCTCTACAACGACCGCCTCGTCGCCACGGTGGGCGGCACCGACGCCACCCTCATGCTGTGGGACGTCGTGGACGACTAAAAAAACCTCACTGCCAGCGTCAAGTCGCACTGACGTTCTTCTTGTTTCGTTGCGCTTCCGCCCCCGGCCCGGCAGCGGTCGCGTGGGTGGGAAAGGGTTCAGATTGTTGTCAGCTGAGTCGCAAAGTTGCGAGGGCCTTCCCCGACTGGCGATGTGGATACCGAGGGGTCTGCTGCCGTCGGAAAACAAATGGTCGATGGGGAAGGCGGACATTGGGGAATGTGCTGGACTGAATTCGGTACCAGAGGACGAATGAGGAAAGAGTGACAATGATCTAGTTATTACTAATCTACGAGTTACCGAAAATTTGAAAACTGGTAAAATTGTAAGAGCAATGACTAGTGAAGTATTTGTTGGAATGTCTCTGATTGCAGAGTTTTAAGGAGATAGGTTTTTGAGTTTGAACCATACTAATTTCTCCCTTCTGTTTTCCCGTATAGTGGTGCTAGCTGTCTTAATTATTATGAACTTATTATTCATACATAAATTGTGCCACCGTTTCAAATAGCATGACCTCAAAATGTATGATTGTAAGAAGATAATGATGCAAACTTACTCACTAAAAGTTATGTTTAAAATTTAACTACAGCAAGAATGTTTGCTTCCAATATTCTATGCCAAAAGTAATAACACTTTGCAAGGAAAACAGCACAAGGGAAGTAATCTCCTATGCTTTGAAAGTGATGCAAATGCACCATTTGGGCTGTAAACAGTCAATTTGTCAATTCTTATTATTAGTGTTTTCAATTTCCACTGATAAATAATGATGTGTCCCTTTCAATCCCTCTAAAGTTTCTCTTGAGCTAATTTCTTGTTATAGAGCAATAATTATTGAAACACATTTTGTTTTTAAAAGTGGTAGATGTTCTAAAAATTAATTTAACTTGGAAGAGTCTTCTTCAGAAAACTGAACATTATTATATTCCTCTTAACCACTCATCAATTAAGTTTTTGGAAGCTTGTTTGCACAAATGACATAGTAAAAATCTTCCATTCAGTTCCTTTCAAAGTGGCATGAATTGGACAATGTAACACAAAACACATTCACATTGAGTAAATTGAATACATTGAGAAAATAAATATTACTAAATGGTGAACTTCCAAAATATTTCAGCAACCCTTTTTACAACAGCAAACGTTTTGGTTAATGATTGCTGGTCATGTATTTGTTTTTGGAACTGTCATGTAATAAAATTACCTTACTTTTCTAGCTATTTGCACTTTCATTACCATACGTAATTAAGATATTTTATACAGGCGATATGCTCAAGGTAGATGATGTAGATTGCTGAAGAAGTAAGAATGGCCGACTTCAGTCATATAGGTCATTTGTCCATTGACAATTGTTTATTTTCTATGAATTCTGAATTGGATAAGAAATAAAAAGCTTTATATGTAAAGAATACTTGCTTGTTTTAAACAAATAATTTATTAAACCTACTTTTTATTACAGTAACTAGCTTACACAAAAATTTCCCAAGAAATTTGAAAACACACATAAAACAATACACATTTCAAAGCTATTTTAAAATAGTTGTCATTAAAACTAGGGTAGATATAAAATTATAAAAATTCTATAGATTTCATATTTTTATCGTATTCTAACAGCTGTTGATTGTATTCTCCTATTTAAATCAGCAAGTATAACTTCACACTGCGCAGTCTTTGCTGGTGAGATGCCAATGGGAAGAACTTCCTCTTCTTCCTCCTCTTCCTTTTGGGTACCTTTTACTCCCTTTCGCTTCTTACGTCTTTGCAATGCACCAGTAGGATTTGCTGGCTCTTTTCCTCTACGCAGTTCATACTGGTCATCATTCCTCCGTCGACGTTTGCGTTTCTCTTTCATAAATTCAGTAGCATCATAATAGTTGGGTTTCTCTTTAATTCTCTGCGTTCTTCTTTGTCGTACGCCATCCTGTTCTGGTTGATCAGCTGAAGTGGCAGTAGATGACGGTCCATCACTACGCTTTGAGTGGTAAAATGAATAACCACAGCTACATGTTTTGCAAGCAACTGCACAAGGTGTGTCGCAGTCAGGACACACCTTGGTGGTCATTTTATTTTTGGGAGGCATAATTAACGATTTTAACTTGATGACTGCGGGTCGTACAAGGGTTAGACTTTCCTTGAACTTTAACTTAGTTTAAAGTCTCTGTGAAGAGTATTACGCATGAAAATGCTATCCTCCGAGATCAAACTGAAACTTGTTTCATACACACATTTCGGATGAACGGCGAAATATCATGTGCTGGGCAAAACCGTAAACATTTCAAACCAGACTCATCAAATAAACAATAATCACAGACGACACACCGACACAGGACGCGTTCTCCGTTCTCCTGCTTCAGTTTCGGCTTTTGTTCTGACCTCAAGTGACCAGACAAAGCATACAGTCACGCACACACAGTACCTAGCGTCGCTTCCACCACCTCGCGACTCCCTTTTAAATTCGTGGATCGATTGACGGCCTCGCAGTTGGGTCTCTTCGCAGTGAAGGTCAACCCGGTCAGCACGCTGAGGTATCCCTTGCTAGTCTCCAAGGCATTTGAAACAAGGTGAGTTGATTTTCTCGTGTTTCTGTGAATGGTGAATGAAACTTGATGAATTCGTCTATTAGGATGAGCTATCAAAACTCAGGATCACCTCGATTTGTGGTTTTAGTGGGGTGTTTCACTTGGCTGTCACGCGCAGGACAGTGCCAGACTTTTCTTCTGCCAATGTGTCCCATGTTCCCCTTAGCTTGACACTTTACAGTAAATTGTCATTTCCAGAAAACGCTCACTCTTGTTTGTCTTGCATTCTGTACGAGTCAGCACATCCCGTTCATAGAGTCGCCGTTTCAAGTCCTAAAGGGGCGATTTATTCTCCCACACCCTAATCAATATCACCTTTAGGGGTGTAACCTTCCTCAGTTATAGGGTCACAACCTTTTAGTCTGACTTGTACCTATTTGATTCCCAAGTTCAGTTTTAAGAACATTTTAATTCTTCTATATTCACAACAAACATGCTAATATTTTGAACCAAGAAGTGACACACCTAGGAATGTCACTTCATCTTTTGTAGGGTTGCATTAGAATTGCTAAGCAGCAAGTGTCCAACCTTGTCACTCTTCAGTATGCTTCCATTTGAATTAATGTCGATATTTTTTGTATGAATTTTATTAGCGCTGTAAATTTGAATGCTTTTATTGTTTGGCTTTTCACATTCATGAAATTTTTATTTTTGCAAGTTTTGTAACATTATTTCAAAAACATTGCAATATATCCGAAAGCCATAGTTAGCAGTCTCAAAGTGCTGCCAAGAATTTTGACATAGCTTGTTTGTGTGCCTTGACCTTGAAATGCCTCAGCCAGGGCCACGGTCATGTGTGTACTCCGCTCAGCCGTTCGGAAGGCCTGGTTAGTACTATCGTTAACTTCCTTAATGCTTGGGTTGAGCCGCTACTACACCTTTGTCAGGAGAATCTATCTACAAAGCTTTACCTCTTCTTTGAGTGATGCAACTTCACAAAATAATAGGACATTTTCTTTGGTTTGCAGTATCAACCTAGTCCGTCAGTACAGCAATACCTTCAAAATGCCTGTCAAGTCCGTCAAGGCCCGCAACATCTTCGACTCACGTGGCAACCCCACTGTTGAGGTAAGTTCTTGGTCTGCAATATTGTATTGTTTGCATGATGCAACATTAAATTTTTCACCATATTTCTGACAGGTTGACCTAGTAACTGAGTTGGGTCTCTTCCGTGCCGCTGTACCCTCTGGTGCTTCCACTGGTGTTCATGAGGCTTTGGAACTTCGTGATAATGACAAATCACAGTACCATGGCAAGAGTGTTCAGAAGGCCATTGATAATGTCAACAACATTATTGCCCCTGAGCTCATCAAGTCTGTAAGTTGCATGAGTTTGTGAAGTTATCATTAGCTACTGTCATGTACTTACGATTCTTGATTTAATTAGGGTCTTGAAGTCACTCAGCAGAAGGAAATTGATGAGCTGATGCTCAAGCTTGATGGAACTGAGAACAAGGCTAAGCTGGGTGCCAATGCTATTCTTGGTGTGTCTCTTGCAGTTTGCAAGGCTGGTGCTGCCAAGAAGGGAATTCCTCTGTACAAGTAAGTACCTTTTTCTAGAAATTATGTTAGGTTTATTTGTAGCATTACCTCACAGTTACTACTTTTTACACTTCCAGACACATTGCTGATCTGGCTGGCAACACCAACATTATCCTCCCTACCCCTGCCTTCAATGTGATCAACGGAGGTTCTCATGCTGGCAACAAACTAGCCATGCAGGAATTTATGATCCTTCCTACTGGTAATTGCCCAGTTTTCCCGCTTTAGTTTTAAAATATTTCTAATTAATTGTTTCTAATTAATTATTTTTATATTTTAGGTGCTTCTTCATTCAAGGAGGCCATGAAGATGGGCTCAGAAGTCTACCACCATTTGAAGAACATCATTAAGGCCAAGTTTGGCCTTGACTCAACAGCTGTTGGTGATGAGGGTGGCTTTGCTCCCAACATTCTGAATAACAAGGAGGGACTGACACTTATCATTGATGCAATTGCCAAGGCTGGTTACACTGGCAAGGTTGAGATTGGTATGGATGTGGCTGCATCTGAATTTTACAAGTAAGTCAAACAGACCATTTCCTATATTTTCAGTCAGTGTTGTTATGGAAACTTTATCCTCTCTCATTTGTCTCATTGGAAGGGATGGTCAGTATGATCTGGACTTCAAGAACCCCAACTCCGACAAAAGCCAGTGGCTGTCTGGAGAGAAACTGACGGACCTCTACATGGAATTCATTAAGGAATTCCCTATGGTTTCCATTGAAGACCCCTTTGACCAGGATCACTGGGATGCCTGGACCACCATCACTGGCAAGACCAACATCCAGGCAAGTATAGAATTAGTACACATTCTGTGTTATTTTCCTAGGATCAGAATTTGATTTTGTATCTTTACATTGCAGATTGTTGGTGATGACTTGACTGTGACCAACCCCAAGCGTATTCAAATGGCCGTTGATAAGAAGGCCTGCAACTGCTTGCTCCTGAAGGTGAACCAGATTGGTTCAGTCACTGAATCAATTCAGGCTCATCTTCTTGCCAAGAAGAATGGCTGGGGAACCATGGTTTCTCATCGCTCTGGAGAAACTGAAGACACCTTCATTGCTGACCTGGTTGTAGGTCTTAGCACAGGACAGGTAAGCTTAGTAATTTTGGATTGCCATTCAATATTTGTTCAGTACAAATTGTAATGCTGCCGCTTATTTCAGATCAAGACTGGTGCACCTTGCCGCTCTGAGCGTCTGGCCAAGTACAATCAAATCCTGCGTATTGAGGAGGAACTTGGTGCTGGTGCCAAGTATGCTGGCAAGAACTTCCGCAAACCTGTCTAAATAAGTTTAACTAATGTACCTTTTTTATTTTGGGAGGTTTCCTTGGCCTTCAATGATAAATCTAGGTCTATTACTCATGAAACATTCTGTTGTACATCAGTTATTGAAGCTTCATTTTCTAGTAAGCAACAGTAGCGATGAATT